CAAAGTACGAGGGGAGGACTAGCAACGTGGACTGTATCTGCAAGCCAGGATACACCAGCAGTAGCAACAAGTGCCTCAAGTGCGACAAGGGCCAGTACATCTCCAACGGATCGTGCGTGACTTGCCCTGCCAACACGTTGAGCTCAGGTCTTGCCACCGGAGTAGAGACGTGTGTGTGCCCAGCTGGATACTTCATATCCAACACTACAGCTGGGGCGTCGAGCTCCTTCGACTGTCTGGTATGTCCAGCGGGCACCTACAGCAATACGAGCGGCCAGACCTTGTGCAGTACTTGCTTCCCACACGCGACCTCGGAGGCCGGGAGTGTCAACGTCAGCTGGTGTCAGTGCAACGTTGGCTACGCTTACGACAACGCCTCCTGCCTGCCGTGTGCTGTAGGGACGTACAAGAGCACGGTCGGCAACGTGGGGTGCAGCAAGTGCTCCGAGAACAGCACGACAGCGTCGACGACCAGCGCAAACGTATCCGCTTGCGTCTGCAAGCCGGGATACTCGCAGGAGGACGCAGGGTCGTGTGTGGCATGTCCGGCGGGCAAGTACAAACAAGCGCTCGGCCCAGGCGCTTGCACTAACTGCCCCAACAACTCTGTCACTCCGTCGGTAGGCAGCACGCAGCTGAGTCAGTGCGTATGCAAGCCAGGATACACCAGCAGTAGCAACAAGTGCCTCAAGTGCGACAAGGGCCAGTACATCTCCAACGGATCGTGCGTGACTTGCCCTGCCAACACGTTGAGCTCAGGTCTTGCCACCGGAGTAGAGACGTGTGTGTGCCCAGCTGGATACTTCATATCCAACACTACAGCTGGGGCGTCGAGCTCCTTCGACTGTCTGGTATGTCCAGCGGGCACCTACAGCAATACGAGCGGCCAGACCTTGTGCAGTACTTGCTTCCCACACGCGACCTCGGAGGCCGGGAGTGTCAACGTCAGCTGGTGTCAGTGCAACGTTGGCTACGCTTACGACAACGCCTCCTGCCTGCCGTGTGCTGTAGGGACGTACAAGAGCACGGTCGGCAACGTGGGGTGCAGCAAGTGCTCCGAGAACAGCACGACAGCGTCGACGACCAGCGCAAACGTATCCGCTTGCGTCTGCAAGCCGGGATACTCGCAGGAGGACGCAGGGTCGTGTGTGGCATGTCCGGCGGGCAAGTACAAACAAGCGCTTGGCCTCTCCGCGTGTCAACCCTGTGCGGATGACTGGATTTCTGCGACAGGAAGTGATCGCTGCACGCAATGTGGTAAAGGAAAGTATCGCATGTTTCCAGCGTCTCAAGAATGTAGCCCTTGCGCATCATCGGACTCGATTGCCTGCTTGGCAGACATTCCAGGTGTTCAGCCGCAGTCTTGTGCTCAATCTGGAGGCTCTGAAATCAAGTTCAATGTTCTTGCTTTTGAAAAGTCAGATTTGGTAGCATGGGTGCAGTTTCCTCCCAACATTTCACTACCGGTTCCTGTCTCCCAGCTCTCAAAAGCTCTTGTTTCGGCCAACTGTCCTCCTACATCTTTTGCAGGAACAGAGTCAGGATTCTTTCTCGATGCTGAGATGAAGCGTCTCGCAAAGTTCTCATTCACCTACAACTTTCCGCTCCCAACAGTTTTTCCTGCAACGGTCTTGACGTCTGGACAAGAAGCGATCAACATTATGTTTTATACTTGGCCTTCCGGCTTTCCATTGCAATGCTCCATCTACATCGGATTGCTTCATATGTGGAATTATTCTTCTGTTGTTCAAACTTCGAACTCAATGCTTGTCCACGGATTATCGCCCACTATCAGCACTGCGGAATCTCGTTCAATCTTCTTTGAATGCGATGGAACATTTCATCCAACCGGAGCTTATTTGAACTTCCTAGCATCCCCGTCGTTGCAGGATTTGAAATTCATGAACTCAGATTGCAGTGTAGTCAAGAGCTGCTCCTTGCAGGCTACCCTGCTGAACATCCCCCAATCTTTCAATCGGAAGAATGGGATGGTGGTTGTCATATACGGCCCTGACAAAGAGATCCTGCTTTCGAATGCCCGCAGAGATTTGCATCTCAAGGTAGTAAGACTTGAATCATTTCTTTGATCCTCTTACTTGATTCACCCAAGGTTTTGTCCTCTGACGCAGAAAAAGTAGTCATCGAGATCTCGATTCCGCCATTGCTCAAGGTTGTCAAGACAAAGATCAGAATCGCCAGCAACTCATCTGCTAATTTTGGAATCCAAAGCTTTGATTTTGAAAAAGATCTTTCCATCCCGCAGCCGACGGCAATGGTCTTGTCTGTATCACCCTCGGAGCTGCCTTCCAGTAAACTCTCCCGAGTAACCATTCAAATCACAGGCTTTCCTCCGTTGTCCAATGCTGCAGATTTGCAGGTTCGAGTTGGGAGCACTATATTCTCTGTGATTGAGATTATCTTCTCGGACATGTTTGGTTAGTGATTGAACACATAATTTCAACTGACTTGGTCTGACTATCGCATTGTTTTGCAGGAAGTTCAGTTGTGGCAGAAATTTCAAGCAATGCTCCAAAAGTGGAGGCTTTGACAGTTTTTCAACAAGACAAATCGGCAAGAGCAGAAGTTTTATTTTTTTCACTATCAACACAAGCATTATGTGTGAAGGGTTGCATTGCTCCCATGTCAAGACGAACCCTCATGAGCATTCAACTTACCGGATTTCCCCCATCTCTCACATCTTCAAGCTTCATCTTCACCTTGAGCAACTCTTCGACCGGCATTAAGAGTCTGATATTCTCAGGTGGCAAATACCTTGTCAGCATCGAGACTCCTTCCGTCCTGTCTCAGACTTTGCCTCTGCAAACGTACTTCTTGCGTGCAGCTCTCAAGGGAGACGAGACTGTCGCAGGCATCGCTAACTTCACCCTCGTCACATCGCCCAAGTTGACAGGAGCAAGCTTCAACGGCTTTGGCTCGCAGCTCACTCTCGATTTTGACCAGGACACCAACGCACCTTTAAGACGAGTAGACTGCTCGTTGGTGATCGCCGCAGGAAACCTATCCTCTCTGGGCAATGGATATCACTGTTACTGGCTGACAGCAAGCCAGCTCAGAGTATTTCTCGGAAGAGAAGCCGTCCTCATGCCAACAAACACCCTTAGCTTCATCGGCAATGTGAGCGACTTCCAAGGAATCTCCAGCACGGAAGGAGTTGAACAGTCGGTCGTGGTCGACGCTCCAAGCCTTCTGCCCGCTCCTCAAGTCACTCTTACCGGACCAAACCAGATCTCCTACTGCGAGAATGCGGAGCTGGTGGCAAACGTTGACTCTCCTCGGCCAGCAAGCTTTACTTGGAGCGTTGTCAACGATCTTGCTCTCAACGACCTTATAGCGGATGTTTCCGGTCCCGTCTTGAGGTTGACTCCTTCCATGCTTCAAACAGGGATGACGTACAATATAACTGCTTCAGTGTTGACGTTCTTGGGTGCGTCTGCAACGTCCTCGACTCATAGTCTCTTTGTCAGCGCCAATCCGATCCCAACGCTAAACATCGATGTTGCTCCCTCCCCATACGTTCGTCCTACCCCGATCTTCTTTGCTTCTCAGGCGACTTTCGCGCCATGTGACACAAACAAGGGACAGATTCAGATGACGTGGCAGGTCTCGCTGGCAGGGGTTTCCATTCTCAGCGGAGATGGCCCTTTCTTTGAAGCCAAGACCACTGAGCTTGTGGCTGGCAGTCAATACATGTGTACCTTGTCTGGGTTTACCGTGCAGGGAGATATCTTGATAACAGAAGTACCGTTCATCGTAGGATATGCAGGAACAAAGGCAAAGATTGAGGGAGGTAACAGAACCCTCTCGATCACAGACGATGTGGTTCTCAACGCCTCAAGCTCTGAAGACTTGGACACTTGTGAGGGAGTGGTGAAGAACCAGTCCTGTTCCTCCTACCCATTGATGTTCCAGTGGTCATGCTATCTCTGTGGCAGTCCATGCAGGACTGTGAATGGATCTTTGGTCTCTTTGCCAAGTTCGTCTGCATTTGTTTACAATTTCCAACACTTGGACTTTTCCGCGTGCAACCTCATCCAACTCCAAGTGCGAGTATCCTCCGGCATGCAGACTGACATGACGTCCGTCTTTCTCAACATCACAACGGGGCTTTCACCAGGAGCACAGATCCAAGTAGTGAGTGAGGATACGTTCATGATCTCGTTAAAAGGCTCCTGCAAGACTTCTTGCTCAGAGTACCAATGGTCAATTTACGACTCCAATGGGAATCTCCTCGCCGGCAATCAATGGGAAGCTGAGAACCCGAGCCTTCCAGCTGGACTCAAAGCAGAGAATCTTGTGGTGTACCGATCCTTCTTCTCTCCCGGCACGTACAGAATTGAGCTCTCTGCGATCACCGGGAGAATCTCAGGCCGTGCAACCAAGTCCCTGTACATCTCCTTCCCTCCCACCGGAGGACAATGCACTGTCTTGCCCACCACTGGAGTTGCCCTGATAGATACTTTCACTTGCACCTGTCAGTACTGGATATCATCGGCCAGGCCTCTTTTCTATGTGTTTGCGATCCACCCCAGCAGTCAAAGTTCTGAGGTCTCGTCAAGTGCTCCATCGAGCTTGACTTCTTACTCCTTCTCCCTGCCAGCTGGAGGATACCTTGTTTACGCAGAGATCATTGACAGTGACGGGAACATTGCGGTGTCAGAAAAAACCAGCATTCAAGTCGTACACGCACCTGTTGTTGTTAATTCTTCATCCTTAAGCGGATCTGAATTTGCTGACGTCAGCAAAGTCCTTGACGACATGAACAGTCTTGGGAGCGTTTCGCAGATCTTACAGTTGAGCTCGAGTTTTGCCAGCAGTCTGGAGACAGGAGAAGCAGCGAAAAGAAGGTTGCTGGCATCTTCACTAGCTTACAGGATGCGGGTGCGAACTATGCTTCTACGCTCCATGGCGAAAGGCCCCGTGAAAACCTCAATGAATCAGAGGACGGCAACTTCAGCTTTGACCACAAGTCTCAAACTCAACAATCAACCGTCCGAGATTGACTTGGCAGCGTTTTCAGACTCGAGTGAAGTGATTGAATCTTGTGCAGGCCATTTGAGGGCTAGTGACCTGCGTCAAGGGTTGTTTGTGAGATTGTTCGCAACAGAAGACAATCGGATTGAGGTTTCAAAGAGATACAACAAAACTTTGAGAGATGTAACCATGTTGTCTGTGCTGAATGTCCTGCTGCAGACTTGCGAGGTCTACTTGACTTCCATGGTTTCATCAGAAAAGCCAGTGTCCTTGTCTTCTGTGAACATGAAGGTTTACACTTTCCGACTGAGATCAGACTTGAAACAATACAACTTCACAACCTGGACCTACTCTTTCGACCTCAGGTTCGCCTTTCCTAATGACGTGCTAGTGACTCAGAGTGGCGATCTTGGTCTGTACGTGGCAGAGATGTACGCGTTCTGGAGACTGGACTACCTGCATGCTCTGCAGTACCATGAGGTTTCTGAGAAGCCGATCCTCTTCCTTCCCGTCTACCCCGGCAAATCTTTGGGCTCCATGTTCAAATGCCCGTCACAGAACAAGTTTTGCCTCCGTGTCAAACTTTCCTTGCCTCGCGTCCACATTAACAGAACTGAAAACTACCTCTTTGACCTGAAGCAGCAGCTTGCATGCGTTCTGTGGTTGACCAACGTCAGTACCTGGTCATTGGACGCCTGTCAGCTGACGTCGGTCATAGAGACCAACGAGAACTCCCTTGCCGTTTTCTGCTCCTGCTCGAGTTCTGGTGCTCTTGTCGTGATGAGAAACTTGCAATATACGGCTCTCTACCCGTCGCTTGGGCTGATGCCAATAAAGCAACGGACAGCGAATTGGGCGATGTTTACGATAATCATTGTAACTCTCTTGTTTGGCCTTCTGATCTCCCTTGTGATGTTCAACAACAGCAGCTTGAGCAACTTCTTGAGAGAAGACAAGCTAATGAAACGTCATATACAGCATCAGCATCAGTGTCTGATCGGGGAAATCGTCTTTGCAACTGTTGGACACGTGGAGACCAAGGAAGACCTGGACCCGGGTTTTTCACATCTCCGGAGACATGACAGATTGTGTTACGACTTGTTGGACGAGATAGGACTGGGCAGGAATCCTTTCCATTCTATGTGGCCCGAAGAAGAAACTATCTGCAAAACTTTCAAGAAAAAGGATTCAAAGGTCATCCTACGAAAGAAGTGTAAAGTGCCTGACACCAGCTACAAGCTGGCTTGAGCGCATGTCCAACAGATTGTTTTTCACATCATGAGCTTTCTCATACTGTTTATAGGGTTTTCTTGTTTTTTAGGGATTCGTTTTAATGTAAATCACAAATTCGATCTCTCCTCGTCGATCAATTAGCGACAGAACAGCCACAAGATACTTTTATCTTTTGTTGTTCACACAGAAGACGAGCAGCAATTGAACTTTCATCGCTGCTGCCTTAAAGCATGGGTTGCTTGATTCTGTCTGAAACATTCTCCTCGATCACCACTGTCTCCTTCTCTTCTTCCCTCTCCTCACTGTCAAAGTGGCTTGCTCCTTTGTCTCGAGGCAAGTATGATATGTTTGCGTCCTTGGACGAGATTGACTTGTCGAACATTGGCACTCTTTCTCTGCCTCTCTCTTGTCATCCTCGTCCTCATCCTGCTCTAGACCATCGACTCCCCCCTGCAGCCGCTTCTTCTCTCTGTGTGGTGATGGTACAGTGATAGGAGGAGGAGGACGCAACAAGTGACAGAGAAATGAAGCAGAAGGGGAGCGGAGGCAGGGGTTGAGGAGGAGGGGGACCACACCAGGGAGAAAGAAATCAATGGGAAGTGATCAAAAAAGAAGCAGGAAGGAGGAAAAGGACAGAGGTGAGGGCACAAAGAGCAAGATCAAGGCAGAAGGAGGCAGAAGGCACAAGACACAAGACACAAGGCACAAGACAGAAGAATGGCGGGATGACGCTCAATCGGAATCATGATGACCCGCGGGTGACACACCTCCTCCCCTTTCTCGCATGTGTCCGCTGGTTGGGTAGGCGAGCTGAGCTAGACGCGGTAAGCTACAAGCCTGACACGTGGATGTGGCAAGGAATCAAGAAAGGTTCCTCCACTCTCACATACAGACTCTTCTATCATCGTTTACAGGTGAAGCGCCGGAGGAGGGAGAGGGGAGAGTGTGTGCATGGGCGGGGGCATGACGGGTTGAAAGCAGCGCAAGCGCGCTCTACCTACCTACACTCGTCTCCACGTATGCTCATGACAAGCAATGTTGAGACCATGACCCTTGATGAAATCTTCTCGGACCTTAGAACGTAAGTCGCCCTCGTGGCTGATGGAGACGAGTCTGACGGGTTGATCTCTGCTCTTCCTCGCTGCGACTGTGCGCTCGTCTCGTCGGCAAGGGTCAATGTCGTAGCCCGCGCGAGGCTGGCCGGGCCTCGTCGCCTCGACACCAAGCTGCTGGCGTCCAGGCTGAGAAACTCCCAGTACGGGGGAGATCTCACCAACGCTCGCTCTGTGACCCTGCGCTTCCCGCTGCACTCCACCGTCGTCAAGGTGTACGAGAGCGGCAGCATGGTCGTGGTCGGAGCTCGCTCCGCCTCCTCCGCCCGCTCCACTCTGAGGGCAGTAGCCAGAAGGATCCAGAGGGTCCTCAGGGACGTGAGGGGCCTCGAGGGCTTCCGAGTCGTGCACACGGTCTGGAGCTTCAAGATGAGGAGGGCAATAGACCGGGTGAGGACGTACGAGCGGTTGTGCGAGCGGTTCTTCCCCTCCTATGAGCCGGAGATCAACACCGCCCTGACCGTACCTCTTGAGGACCTCAGAGTGAGCACCAAGGCCGCGAGAGCGGAGGCCCAGGGGAGGGGAGAGGAGCTGACTGGAGGGAGCAGGTGAAAGCGTGTCTTCACAAGCGGAGCGGGGCGGTCTTCGGAGTGAAGCGAGATCGCGACGCGTACCTAGCCTTGCAGCTGATCGCGCCCCTGCTGGTCTACGTGGGCGAGTGAAGGAGCGAGTCGGCGCAGAGGTCGGCAGCCTATGCTCCACACGAGTACGAGAGAGGTGTCATAGATTCGATGCTAAATATAGCAAGTCACGAGACAGGGGGGGAGGGGGGGGAAGCCTTTATCAAGATGGGCCCCCTCGACCCCGACACGCCAAAACACGCGGGGGCACGTTGGGACCTGGCAGCTCCCCCCTCCCTCCCCCTGTGCTGCGAGGCTGAGCAGGACGAGAAGTGCGAGGCGAGATCAGGACAGGAGCGGTAGCAAGGCCTGCCTGTGTCTTGCGAGGCTGAGCAGGACGAGAAGTGCGAGGCGAGATCAGGACAGGAGCGGTAGCAAGGCCTGCCTGTGTCTTATCTTGCCCTGTCTGCGATGGTGATGGTGGGGTGAGATGAGGGGAGGAGGCGGCATCGCATGTGTCCGCTGGTTGGGTAGGCGAGCTGAGCTAGACGCGGTAAGCTACAAGCCTGACACGTGGATGTGGCAAGGAATCAAGAAAGGTTCCTCCACTCTCACATACAGACTCTTCTATCATCGTTTACAGGTGAAGCGCCGGAGGAGGGAGAGGGGAGAATGTGTGCATGGGCGGGGGCATGACGGGTTGAAAGCAGCGCAAGCGCGCTCTACCTACCTACACTCGTCTCCACGTATGCTCATGACAAGCAATGTTGAGACCATGACCCTTGATGAAATCTTCTCGGACCTTAGAACGTAAGTCGCCCTCGTGGCTGATGGAGACGAGTCTGACGGGTTGATCTCTGCTCTTCCTCGCTGCGACTGTGCGCTCGTCTCGTCGGCAAGGGTCAATGTCGTAGCCCGCGCGAGGCTGGCCGGGCCTCGTCGCCTCGACACCAAGCTGCTGGCGTCCAGGCTGAGAAACTCCCAGTACGGGGGAGATCTCACCAACGCTCGCTCTGTGACCCTGCGCTTCCCGCTGCACTCCACCGTCGTCAAGGTGTACGAGAGCGGCAGCATGGTCGTGGTCGGAGCTCGCTCCGCCTCCTCCGCCCGCTCCACTCTGAGGGCAGTAGCCAGAAGGATCCAGAGGGTCCTCAGGGACGTGAGGGGCCTCGAGGGCTTCCGAGTCGTGCACACGGTCTGGAGCTTCAAGATGAGGAGGGCAATAGACCGGGTGAGGACGTACGAGCGGTTGTGCGAGCGGTTCTTCCCCTCCTATGAGCCGGAGATCAACACCGCCCTGACCGTACCTCTTGAGGACCTCAGAGTGAGCACCAAGGCCGCGAGAGCGGAGGCCCAGGGGAGGGGAGAGGAGCTGACTGGAGGGAGCAGGTGAAAGCGTGTCTTCACAAGCGGAGCGGGGCGGTCTTCGGAGTGAAGCGAGATCGCGACGCGTACCTAGCCTTGCAGCTGATCGCGCCCCTGCTGGTCTACGTGGGCGAGTGAAGGAGCGAGTCGGCGCAGAGGTCGGCAGCCTATGCTCCACACGAGTACGAGAGAGTGTACGATGATATAATACACTCGCGCTACTCTCTCTCTGTCTCTCCCATGAGGCGGGCCCCTACAGGGGGTAGTGGCATTGCTCCAGGGGGTGGGTCATAGATTCGATGCTAAATATAGCAAGTCACGAGACAGGGGGGGAGGGGGGGGAAGCCTTTATCAAGATGGGCCCCCTCGACCCCGACACGCCAAAACACGCGGGGGCACGTTGGGACCTGGCAGCTCCCACCTCCCTCCCCCTGTGCTGCGAGGCTGAGCAGGACGAGAAGTGCGAGGCGAGATCAGGACAGGAGCGGTAGCAAGGCCTGCCTGTGTCTTATCTTGCCCTGTCTGCGATGGTGATGGTGGGGTGAGATGAGGGGAGGAGGCGGCATCGCATGTGTCCGCTGGTTGGGTAGGCGAGCTGAGCTAGACGCGGTAAGCTACAAGCCTGACACGTGGATGTGGCAAGGAATCAAGAAAGGTTCCTCCACTCTCACATACAGACTCTTCTATCATCGTTTACAGGTGAAGCGCCGGAGGAGGGAGAGGGGAGAATGTGTGCATGGGCGGGGGCATGACGGGTTGAAAGCAGCGCAAGCGCGCTCTACCTACCTACACTCGTCTCCACGTATGCTCATGACAAGCAATGTTGAGACCATGACCCTTGATGAAAACTTCTCGGACCTTAGAACGTAAGTCGCCCTCGTGGCTGATGGAGACGAGTCTGACGGGTTGATCTCTGCTCTTCCTCGCTGCGACTGTGCGCTCGTCTCGTCGGCAAGGGTCAATGTCGTAGCCCGCGCGAGGCTGGCCGGGCCTCGTCGCCTCGACACCAAGCTGCTGGCGTCCAGGCTGAGAAACTCCCAGTACGGGGGAGATCTCACCAACGCTCGCTCTGTGACCCTGCGCTTCCCGCTGCACTCCACCGTCGTCAAGGTGTACGAGAGCGGCAGCATGGTCGTGGTCGGAGCTCGCTCCGCCTCCTCCGCCCGCTCCACTCTGAGGGCAGTAGCCAGAAGGATCCAGAGGGTCCTCAGGGACGTGAGGGGCCTCGAGGGCTTCCGAGTCGTGCACACGGTCTGGAGCTTCAAGATGAGGAGGGCAATAGACCGGGTGAGGACGTACGAGCGGTTGTGCGAGCGGTTCTTCCCCTCCTATGAGCCGGAGATCAACACCGCCCTGACCGTACCTCTTGAGGACCTCAGAGTGAGCACCAAGGCCGCGAGAGCGGAGGCCCAGGGGAGGGGAGAGGAGCTGACTGGAGGGAGCAGGTGAAAGCGTGTCTTCACAAGCGGAGCGGGGCGGTCTTCGGAGTGAAGCGAGATCGCGACGCGTACCTAGCCTTGCAGCTGATCGCGCCCCTGCTGGTCTACGTGGGCGAGTGAAGGAGCGAGTCGGCGCAGAGGTCGGCAGCCTATGCTCCACACGAGTACGAGAGAGTGTACGATGATATAATACACTCTCTCTGTCTCTCCCATGAGGCGGGCCCCTACAGGGGGTAGTGGCATTGCTCCAGGGGGTGGGTCATAGATTCGATGCTAAATATAGCAAGTCACGAGACAGGGGGGGAGGGGGGGGAACCAAAACACGCGGGGGCACGTTGGGACCTGGCAGCTCCCCCCTCCCTCCCCCTGTGCTGCGAGGCTGAGCAGGACGAGAAGTGCGAGGCGAGATCAGGACAGGAGCGGTAGCAAGGCCTGCCTGTGTCTTATCTTGCCCTGTCTGCGATGGTGATGGTGGGGTGAGATGAGGGGAGGAGGCGGCATCGCATGTGTCCGCTGGTTGGGTAGGCGAGCTGAGCTAGACGCGGTAAGCTACAAGCCTGACACGTGGATGTGGCAAGGAATCAAGAAAGGTTCCTCCACTCTCACATACAGACTCTTCTATCATCGTTTACAGGTGAAGCGCCGGAGGAGGGAGAGGGGAGAATGTGTGCATGGGCGGGGGCATGACGGGTTGAAAGCAGCGCAAGCGCGCTCTACCTACCTACACTCGTCTCCACGTATGCTCATGACAAGCAATGTTGAGACCATGACCCTTGATGAAAACTTCTCGGACCTTAGAACGTAAGTCGCCCTCGTGGCTGATGGAGACGAGTCTGACGGGTTGATCTCTGCTCTTCCTCGCTGCGACTGTGCGCTCGTCTCGTCGGCAAGGGTCAATGTCGTAGCCCGCGCGAGGCTGGCCGGGCCTCGTCGCCTCGACACCAAGCTGCTGGCGTCCAGGCTGAGAAACTCCCAGTACGGGGGAGATCTCACCAACGCTCGCTCTGTGACCCTGCGCTTCCCGCTGCACTCCACCGTCGTCAAGGTGTACGAGAGCGGCAGCATGGTCGTGGTCGGAGCTCGCTCCGCCTCCTCCGCCCGCTCCACTCTGAGGGCAGTAGCCAGAAGGATCCAGAGGGTCCTCAGGGACGTGAGGGGCCTCGAGGGCTTCCGAGTCGTGCACACGGTCTGGAGCTTCAAGATGAGGAGGGCAATAGACCGGGTGAGGACGTACGAGCGGTTGTGCGAGCGGTTCTTCCCCTCCTATGAGCCGGAGATCAACACCGCCCTGACCGTACCTCTTGAGGACCTCAGAGTGAGCACCAAGGCCGCGAGAGCGGAGGCCCAGGGGAGGGGAGAGGAGCTGACTGGAGGGAGCAGGTGAAAGCGTGTCTTCACAAGTGGAGCGGGGCGGTCTTCGGAGTGAAGCGAGATCGCGACGCGTACCTAGCCTTGCAGCTGATCGCGCCCCTGCTGGTCTACGTGGGCGAGTGAAGGAGCGAGTCGGCGCAGAGGTCGGCAGCCTATGCTCCACACGAGTACGAGAGAGTGTACGATGATATAATACACTCGCGCTGTCTCTCCCATGAGGCGGGCCCCTACAGGGGGTAGTGGCATTGCTCCAGGGGGTGGGTCATAGATTCGATGCTAAATATAGCAAGTCACGAGACAGGGGGGGAGGGGGGGGAAGCCTTTATCAAGATGGGCCCCCTCGACCCCGACACGCCAAAACACGCGGGGGCACGTTGGGACCTGGCAGCTCCCCCCTCCCTCCCCCTGTGCTGCGAGGCTGAGCAGGACGAGAAGTGCGAGGCGAGATCAGGACAGGAGCGGTAGCAAGGCCTGCCTGTGTCTTATCTTGCCCTGTCTGCGATGGTGATGGTGGGGTGAGATGAGGGGAGGAGGCGGCATCGCATGTGTCCGCTGGTTGGGTAGGCGAGCTGAGCTAGACGCGGTAAGCTACAAGCCTGACACGTGGATGTGGCAAGGAATCAAGAAAGGTTCCTCCACTCTCACATACAGACTCTTCTATCATCGTTTACAGGTGAAGCGCCGGAGGAGGGAGAGGGGAGAATGTGTGCATGGGCGGGGGCATGACGGGTTGAAAGCAGCGCAAGCGCGCTCTACCTACCTACACTCGTCTCCACGTATGCTCATGGCAAGCAATGTTGAGATTACAAGTGTGGAGTAGCGCAATAGACCGGGTCATTCGAATGTTGAAGTTTGATGCATTCGTTGAAATGATTTGATTCAAATCATGTTTCATGTGCTACACGAGAACGACAACGATAACGACAGCAACGATGAGGTGACTGTTTGGCCCCGGACCTGCCGTTGTTCTTTACACGGAACAAACTTGGCGGCTGAGGACCCTGCAACTACCTTGGGGTTGGAGGCAGGGGTCTCACGATACTGATGATCGTGAGAGGTGATGCTAGCAAGCAGGCCGGGCCTGAGGCCTCTCAAGGACCCTCGGAAGGACTCCAAGGACTGCCACTGGCGTGGGTGCGACGGAAAAGACGGCGGGTAGCAATCTGTGAAATTATTTTCTAGCCAGGGGTAAGGGTGGCACATGACCGGGTCTTTTGGACCGTATTAGAGGTGGTATGTGGGGGTACCAGTATCGTACTTATAGATAGGGGTGGGTTGTAAGTTAACTTTAGGCCCTCGACAACGATGAGCACATGCACATCGTTGTCGCTTCTGAGGGAGCCTCGGAGTGGCGTAAGGAGGCTGAAGGATATGCTCAATGTCCAGAAACTACACATGCTCAACCTTCGGGTCTCGTTCTGGCGGCCGAAGAACGGATCCTGGTGGATGGAGGAGACCTCAGTCGGACCTTCAATCTTGAAGGAAACATCCGTGGAGAAATAGTTTTGGACACCAACTCCCTCTCTGCGACCCCAGCCCCTACCCGGGCTCGTATCCAGGACTCCGATGACAACATGTCTCCTTCGCACATGGAAGACAGAAGGGAGCTGCAGGGGACTGAGGTTCTGTCTCCCGGAGATTTTATTTATCCCTTCACGGACGCCCGCTACGTGGAACAGAGTGATGTTCTTGAGGATGGACACGTCCCGGAGCAAAGAGCTGGTCCACCTCCAAAACATATGATGCTTCATGCAAGAAAACTCGCTGTTCGACATCTTCCTCAAATGGACGCGGACGGCAGATGTGATCCTTTCCTCGTTCTTACGTTCGATCAGCAGAAGAGATCGACTCAAGTGGCTAAGAATGTCTACGAGTACTCGTATCGTGAAAGCTTCGAGTTTTTTGTTCATGAGCTGCATATCGAGTTCGCAAAGAGCTTGCAAGTGAGTGAAGGGGCGTCATGTGGCATTGGCTTGTTGATCGAATGCTTCGATTGGGACCGCTTGAGCTCGAATGACTATGTGGGCAAGGTTTCTGTGGATCTGCTTGTTTTGTGCTCGCTCGTCGAGACTGCAAAGCACTTGACCTTTGTTCTATGCACAACTTCGGGAGATCCTGTGATGGGAAAGGACGGCCTTCCGTGTGAGGTCGATGTGGAACTGGAGATGTTGCCCACGCATCGATCTTGGTATCCTCCTACATTGTCTAAGTCTCTTTCAATGTGTGAGTCTCGACCTGAGAGTCGGGAAATCAGCATCTCTATGTTGCACCGTCTCTCCTCCATCTCAGCTGGATATTTCTTTCACAAAAGCAGTCACTCTTTATCAGGCTCGTTCTCATACAAACGTGCCGAGCGCCCTCCGGACCCAGAAAGGAGAGGGTCTCAAGTGAACTTGAAATTCCCTTCTCGGACTCCGGAACTGCAAGTTGAGCCCGAGGTAGACGATCTCTTCGCCGATGCCGACGAGAAAGACATCGACTATGACGAGGAGCCTTCCGAGTTGTACTGGCGAGAAAGACTAGAAAAGGCGATGGAGTCCATGTGGGTCAACATTATGGTTTTGGGCCTCGTTATGTTGGATCTCTCCAACATCTTGGTCTACACGTTCTACTACTCGACTGACTCTGAGCAGCCCTGGCAAACTGCCGTCAACTTCACAGTTATGTCGCTCTTCCTCCTTGAGCTCAGCTTGAGGCAAATTGCTCAACGCAAGCGCTTTTGGAGCAACATGTGGAACATCTTTGACTTCTTCGTGGTTTGGTTGAGCATTGGAGTGCTGGTGAGGCTTGAATGAGTAGCTTTCAAACGTGTTGCTGAAGTTTGATTTCTCCTAGGTCGTCAAGCAAATCTTTGAATCTCAAAGCGGGGTAGCTAGCAGCCTCCAGTCCACCAAGAGTACTGCCACAAGCCTGCGCGTCTTTTCTAGAATCGCCATGGTCATGCGATTCGTTCGCGTTCTGATTACCGTGAGAAGAGCGAGAATGCTGAGTGGGGCAGTGAGCAAGAAGCTGAGGAAGGCAGTTTCTCAGGTAGAGATGATGAGCTGAATAACTTTTGTCTAACACGCTTCCACAGAACAAGAGGAGATACAAGAAGCATGGCTACAACTTGGATCTCACCTACATAACGGACAGGATCATCGCCATGTCGGCTCCTGCTTTCGGAGGACACACTGCCTTTCGAAACGACATCCATATGGTCTCTCGCTTTCTGTCTCAGCGGCACTATGGAAAGTTCTTCATCTTCAACTTGTGCGACACCTACAACTCATCGGACGGCGTCATGGGGAATTACCATCCCCAGCTGCTGTTCAACCAAGTGCAGAGAATTCCCTTCGAAGATCACGCGCCACCGCTCTTGTCGGAGCTCATCTTCATGTGTCAGGAGTCGTGTGCTTGGATGTCGAGAGACCGTCAGAACACGATCGCAGTGCACTGCAAAGGAGGGAAGGGGAGGACTGGTGTGATGATCGCCGGCCTCCTCATGTGGACTGGGCATAGGAGATGCGCTCTTGACGCTCTGGAGCTCTTCACGTACCGGCGAACGCAAGACTATATCCCTGAGGATGGGCTGGACGAGGATATCGAAGATGGGGTAGGCAGACGCAATGTGAAGCACAACCAAGGTGTGCAGGGCCCTAGTCAGTTGCGCTATGTCTACTACCTGGAAGCCGTGCTGTACAGTGGGGTAGACCCCTGGAGTGTCAAGTACCGCTTCATGGAGAAACTGACGCTCCGCTGCAATCGCTTCATGGAAAAGTACAAGTCGGTACGCATGAGGTGATCCTGCTTTAAGTCTTCTGCTCCCGCCCTCCTGTCTTTCGCTCTCTCTCTCTCGGACTCTTGCTGCTCTTGCTGCCCCTCCTTTCCCCCCTCCAACCCTGTCTGTCTCTCGTGGTCGACTCGACGGCTGTTAACCAATGGCCTGCAGTTACGTCGTGAAATGTCAGAGGACAGTCGTGTTGGACTCTCTCGACTTGATTCCCCCGCAAGAGGTCATGAAAACAAAGTCGGAGTCTGAGCCATATGGAGTCTATATTGAGCTTAGCACGGATGTCTTAATCTGGGCAGATGTGAGAATAGACTTCTTTATCCATCCGGTGAGCTTTCATCCCCTTCTGCTCTCCTCCCGCTCTCCTCTCCTCCCGCTCTCCTCTCCTCCCGCTCTCCTCTCCTCCCACTCTCCTCTCCTCCCCCTCTGCTATCCTTCCTCTCTGTTCTCTCCCTCTCTGCTCTCCTCCTCTCTCGCTGTCTTTAAGTTTCATGCTTGACGTTGCCCTGTGTCTTCCAGAATGTTGGGATGAACTCCAAGCGCAAACTCGCTTTCTTCGTCATGTTCCATACATCTTTCTACGAAGGGAGAGATTTGATTGTTTTCCACAAGCGTAACGTGGACATGTTGCATAAGGACAGCTCGAATCAGATGTTTGACCAAACATTTCACCTGCAAGTTCATCTCAAGCCCGAAACAAAGCTGCTGTTCTTCGACGGGGCATCAAGCGACCGACTGATTGAGGCTCAGATCAGGTCCTTCCAGCTGATGTTCACCCACAACGAGTTCGCAATCTCCATGACGCTGCGCAAGGGCGAGTACCTCACCAAAGAGTCTTTCCGCAACGACTACGTCTACTTCATCCAGAAGGGGGCGGTGGAGGGAGTCTTGAAAGATGACAACAATGTGATGGTGCAGTTTCACAGCCTCGGCAACAGCATCCCCGATGAAAACAACAGGCAGAACGTCCGTGTACCCATATTGTGCATCTTCGGCTCCGGCTCCGTGGTGCTCGGTGCTGACTTCCTCTACGACGGGACCTTCATGAGTCTGCGAGCTCGCGAGGACAAGACTCAGGTAATCTGCCTGGTTAAGCGAGGCCGTACAGTGCAAGCGAGTCAAGCAGAAGGGCAGACCACGAGTCTTTTGCACATCTCCTACTTTCGCTCCGTCCACCAGTGAGTCTATATCTCCTCTCTGTGTACCTGTTGATCTGCTTCCGTTCCTCACATTCTCGCAGAGGCGTCCTCAAGAAGCGAGGCTGGTACAATTTGTCCTGGAAGGACCGCTACTTTGTGCTCAAGGGGCAGCAGCTGGAGTACTACTCGAGTGAGGGTGCGTTCAAAGGCAATGAGGTAGCGAAGGGAAATATTAACCTGCGCGACTGCCATGTGTCGGAGCATGCGGACAGCGAGTGCCTGTGGGCCTTCGCGATCCAAGACGTCATGCAGAATCGCACCTTCTACTGCGCGGCATTAAACGAGCAAGAAAGAGCGATGTGGATCTCGCAGATCCAGCAGGCTTCGAAGTTATCGAGCAGAATGGAGAGCAACCAGCAGGACCTGACGCGAATCTCGTCACCCAAGCCTTACAAGACGTTTTTCATCCAGAAGCTGATCGTGTCGCAAGAGTCGCAGGGCAGCCAGGAAAATGACCAGGCGAGAGATCGCGAGCTGCTGAGGAGCAACAGAGAGAAGAGTGGAAGCGAGGAGATAGATGTCGAGAAGATTTCCATCGAGGGGCTACGGACAGCAAGGGAGACGAGCAGCTTTTACAAGTCCCTGAGCATCCTGCTTGCCATACGACTTGATCGCATCCAGATGGAAATGATCCGGATGGCCTCCCTCAAGGCACTCAACGATCGTTCTATCCTCCCCGAGCAGGACGCCAAGGAGCGACTCCGTACGAGCTGCATCCGTACTTTTGGGCTGCCGCTGACGGAGCGACTGCTGCGCACGTTCAAGTGCAAGCTGAGACGCCCGGAGCTGCGGAAGGAGGTTAAGATGAGGATCATGTTCTTCAACAGGTATGTGATCCTAGACCCGCTCATCTACGGCCCCGTCATCGACTTGCAATCGCAGCTGATGCCTGTCGCTGCCATGGAGAGCGTTGCGTTCAAGGATCGCTACCAGCAGACCACGCTTATCATTCGCGTCTCCACAGATTGTGAGGGTTCCTCTACCCTCTACAACACCTTCGAGCTGGCCTTCGCCTCCTGTCATCGTGCCTTCCAGGTCCTCAGCCTCCTCAAGCGCAACATCGCCGATCACAAGGCCAGCGCCAGTACCGAGGCAGCTCACCGGCAGCCCTCGTTCGCAAGCATTCTGGACAGGTACGGCAAAGTCCATCGGCTGGAGCGAAGGAGCGAGTTCGCCCTGGCGCACAGGACGGCAAGCATCTTCTTTGTGTTCACGGGACAAGTCAAGCTGAAGCGGCTTGACGATGTTTACAAGATCCTCGACCCAGGGGCTTGCTTCGGCCTCACCAACTTCGTCCAGCAAAAGGTTTCGGGACACTTCCATGCTCAGGTGGGGGATGAGCAGACGACCATCCTAGAGATTCCGCGGGAGGTGAACGAGCTCCTCGAGGACGGAACGGGCGCAGACAGCATGCAGGCGATGTTCTACCATGCCGTCTGCGTGTTGCTCGAACACGAGAGCAGGTTTGCTTGCTCTGCTTACTTGTTCTCCTTGCTCTCCTCCTAACCGGTGAGCAGGAACATTCTCCGCCAGATCCTCTCCGGCTCCTAGTGTCAGGCTGAGGTGAAGGTGAAAAGAGGGAGGGGACAGGAATCATCAGTTCTACATAAACCGCAAAATTGCAGTTTTTCTCTCTCACTTCTCCTACTTCTCCTTATCATCGTTTTCTCCTACCTTAGAGTCGTCTTCTCCGTAAGCCTAGCCGTTCTTCTCTCCGGCGTTTAGCATAGAGTTGCATTCGAGGTTTCTGATCCCCTCCGACCTGAGGCAGGTCTCAAGATTCCGGCAGCCGCTCTTCACCTCCTCGACCAGTCTTGTTTGATGCTTGGGTGCGTTGGCCCGTCCTGCGACAAGTGAGATGCGGAAGAGAAGCTATCAAAGCACTTCTAACTCCACCAGCAGCTATTGGGTTTGTGCTGTCTGAGGGAGTTAGAAGTGCTTTGATGGTCGTGTGGCAGGAGGCCACCACATTATGCGTGCTGTGTTGGGCAGCAAGCAGTTGTAAATTTGTTGCTGGAATCTGGAGCAAACATCAATGCCCAAAACCAAGACGGGGAGGTGGATCACTTCATATAAATATTGCTTGCACTTTCACATAAATATTGCTTGCAGACCCCTTTGCACTTTGCATTGGAAACGGGCACATGGAGATCATTCGAATTTTGATGTAGGTAAGAACTCAATTGTGCTACACTCCCATGCAGTATGCGACAATTAAACTTGCAGAACGGTTGCAAAATTTCCGCAAGGATGTTGCAACATCTCAGGTGAATAATTGCTTGATGAGGTGCAAGGGTCGCATTGATTGGTTTTGACAGGAATTCGAATTGGTCAGTTCGTCAGACCCAAACAGACCAGCAGTCAGTGTTTGCTGCGTTTCTTGAGCAAGCAGCCAAACCGTGCGTTTTCTTATGATGAATCTCGAATTCAGTTTTGTTTGTTGTACCACGAATGGAAATACCAAATAATTAAGAACATATGAATGCGATGATGTACTTATTCCATTTCCCCAAAAGCAAGTTTTTCTTTCGTCCTGCCGGAGAAGTTAACGTCCTGATCAATGGATCCATTATGCGGACTGAGGGTAACTGCATCTGTAACAGTGGCGTAACTTCCTCTTCTGTTCTTGAGCAAATTCCCCGCTGTATCTATGGTTTGTGATTTGGGGGAATCCACTGCGGTTGTTTGATCCTCATTGCTGTCCGACACTAACGTTTCTGCGACATGTGTTCTCTGCGCGACCCAGGACTGCGACCTCCCGCATGTCATGAAGACTTCGTTGTGTCTCGTGCACAGTATGAATGGAGGTCATGGAAGTCTCGCCAAGCCTTTTCTTGCGGCCTCAACTTGGAAGAAGTCGGTAGTGCTCGTCACAGCAGCACAATCTAAAGCTGGTGGGATGTTGATTTCGTCATGAAAGAGGATCCGGATCTCTAGGATTTGGAATGTGGAAGTATCGGTGGGACTGTGTGAAGCAAGACAAACCGCAAGGGGATGCGAGGATGAGATGGGAGGATGAGATGCCAGGATGAGAGTTTAGGGTTTAGGGTTTAGTGAAGGTTTAGGGTTTAGGGTTTAGTGAAGGTTTAGCCCTGCCACAGTGGCCGACTCAGTACACATGATGACAGTGGGGAGGGAAGAGGGGCTAGGAGGATACGACACCAGGAAGGGAACCGGGCTCGGACTTAAGCAGGGCCCGGAGGTCAACAACACTGAAAATATCTAATACGGAAGCAACCAGGGCGTGGAGGAGGAGGCCGGTGCACAAGAGACGGAGGGCCGGGAGCTGTGGCATTCCATGGTAGGGGTACCTCAGCCTAGGCTTTTCAACGGTGTTCATTACCTTCATCTTCTGGAGTTACTGGGGCTATCCTGGGCCCCTTCCTGCCAGATCCTCGCAGTCTGAGGCCCCACCTACCCAGGCTCCGCTGTCTGACGAGCCAAGCGCTGCAGAGCTTCACACGCGGCCTTTCGGTTGTCGCACACCTATGGTACTCGCTCGGCCACGCGTCGCATTAACTTTCATACGTGGTCGCCCTCCACGCACAGTCACCCGGGGACCTCATCCTGCACTGCGACCAGCCGCTGCTGAGCAGTGCAGGCGGACTGATGACTTCGATCAGATTTACCAAGACACTCCTTTGCGGCTTGACCCTGGCAATATTCAAGCCTCTCGTCATCAGCTCATATTTGGAGAGGCCTCGGGCGACGCTATCCTCCATGAGAAGCACGTGAATAAGGTCCTAAATAAATTCACCAAGTCAGCTGCAGTGGATCTTACGGGATGGAGACAGGCCTGCCCCCGTGAGGGTGCGTCTTGCTTGTGAAGATCCCGATTTTCATAATGCTCCAGTGCGAGATCGAGTTTCCTGCGCTGAAGGCTGCGCCCGTGGGCTGCCGGGGCCCTACCCACAACCGGCACCTCGATGGAGCTCCTCAGTGCCAGGTACTTGGGAAGAACGACCTTGGCCGCCACTGTCGATATCACTACCTGCTCTGAGGACCTGCAAGGGCCTTCCCATGTCTTGCACGAATCCCCGGGCAATGCTGTCACCAGGGCCTGTGCCGGGCTAAGTTGCTAAGGTCGGGTGTGCAGCTTGCATCCTCACGTGGCCCCACAGCTGGAGCTGAGAGGTGAGTCTCAGTCACGGCCCGGGGCCCGGGCCGGGACCGTACATTCCACAGGCCCGGGCCCTTGTAGTGCAGCCGGGAGGACAACGTGACCCTCAATGAGTTGGACCGTGGGGTAGGGGTGGGAGGGAGAGATAAAGGAGGGGTCCTGACAGAGCTCGGTAGGATAAGCTGAGGAAGAGGAGAGGATCGAGGGTAGGGAAAGAGAAGGGAAGGGAGGGGGAAGGGAGAGGTCAGGTGATGTGAGGGAGAGACAAGGAAAGAGAAGCGATAGAAAGAGGAAAGAGAAGGGAAGGGAAGGAGAGGAAGGAGGAAGGAAGAGAGGGAGAAGGGAAAGAGGGAAAGAGGAGGAAAGGGAGGACGAAGGTAGGGCAAGGCTTGCTTCATATGTCTTCTCGATGGACAAGAGAGACGGACACATAGAGCTGCAGTCGCAAGAGAGGGCAGAGGAGGAGCAGGAGCAGGAGCAGGAGCAGGAGCAGGAGCAGGAGCAGGAGCAGGGGCAGGAGCAGGAGCAGGGGCAGGGGCAGGGGCAGGGGCATTTAATCCCTTTCTGGTAATTAAAAAGTCCTTCATGAGGGGTAGGGTGTATAACCTTACCCGACAGGACAGGACAGGGAGAGGGAGCAGGAGAAGGAGGAGGGTTCCCACATGCTCATGGTCGAGTGAGGATGCATGACAAGGGCTTGGATGTCTCCCGATCAGATGATCACGAAGATGCTCAAGATCGTCATCCTTCTGCTCCTCTGTCCTCCCTTGCAATCAAGGGTACAACAGGCAGTCGGAGGTAGCAGCAGCACATTCTCCAGGATCTGTCAGCTCCGGAGTCGCATACATCCGTGTAGAGGAGGAAGTGACTGGCAGTCTGATAACGAGGAGAGCAGCTCAGGTGGAGGAAACGACTGGCAGTCTGATAACGAGGAGAGCAGCTCAGGTGATGGTTCTACTGACACCCCAATCTCCCCTTTCTCTCCCTCCTTTCCCTCCCTGCTCCCCTCATCTTATCGCATCAGGGGCGATGAGCAACGATTTGGAGAGGAAAGTGACGCGGCTAATGGAGATGGGAGCATCGAGGTCAACGGCAAAGGTCGCTGCAGAGCACTCCATCATATCATATTGACTCTTCACTGCAGAGGGCTGTCGCTCAGGATCCGCAAGGAGACGTCGAGGATGCCGTGAGGTGGTTGGAGTTGGCAGTGGTCTCAAGTGAGCTACGGCAGCAGATGGATCATCAGCAATCTCGACCAAGGAAACCAGTCAGTGACAGAACAAGTCCCGTCTCATGCTGTTGGACGAGCCAGCGAGATCAGCGGATACAAGTGACGAAAGATTTTCATGTTAACTCCCTATGATTTGTTTTCTGTCTGCAGCAATCTTGACGACGATGCCAAAGAGACAGCCAACATTGCTTTCTCTGCTGTTCGTAATCCCTGGAAAGGATCTCGATTTTCATCGGAGCTCCTCGGAAGCTGTGCGTATTTGTTTCTGCCCTTGTGACTGTTCATCCTCCCTCGCTTCCTTCTCATCTCCCTTTGGATTGCTCCTCTCTGCTGCTTCGATAGCTTTCCTTCCTCCTCCTTCCTCGCTCCTCCTCCACCATCACCACCACCACCTCCTCCTCCTCCTTCCTCCTTCCTCCTTCCTCCTACTCCTTCCTCCTGCTCCTCCTCCTGCTCCTCCTCCTGCTCCTCCTCCTGCTTCCCCTTCCTGCTCCTGCTCCTGCTCCTGCTCCTTCCTGCTTCTCTCCCTCATCCTCATCCTCCTCCTCATCCTTCCTGCTCCTGCTCCTCCCCCCTCCTCTTCCTCCCCCC